ATATCGCCAAATATATCACCATTTACAATATATATTAACAAGATATCGCCAAATATATCACCATTTACAATATATATTAACAAAATATAGCCAAATATATCACCATTTACAATATACATTAACAAGATATCGCCAAATATATCACCATTTACAATATATGTTAACAAGATATAGGCAAATATATCACTTTTTACAATATATATTAACAAGATATCGCCAAATATATCACCCAATATATATTTATAGCCAATATATATTACCAAGATATAGCCAAATATATCACCATTTACAATATATGTTAACAAGATATAGCCAAATATATCACCATTTACAATATATATTAGCAAGATATAGCCAAATATATCACCACTTACAATACATATTAACAAGATATAGCCAAATATATCACCATTTACAATATATGTTAACAAGATTTCGCCACCTATCCCCGCAGCACTACCTGACGATGGCCACCTCGTCCATCGCGATCCCCTTCATCCTCGTCGGCCTCCTCTGCATCGAGGAGGCCGACCCGCCAAAGGACACCTCATCTCCACCATCATCTTCGTGTCGGGCATCATCACCCTCCTGCAGACCACGCTCGGATGCAGGTGGGAGAGCGGGGGGGGGGGGGGGGGGGATAGATGGATGCTGGTGGGTGGATGGATGCGTGGATTGATGGATGGATGGATTCAAGAGTGGATAGACAGATAGATAGATAGGTATACAGGAAGGGAGCGTTGGGTGTAGGGGAAGGAGGCTGGTGTTGGGGCGGATATGGGTATAAGGGGAGAGTTTGGGAGATTGGTATTGGGCGTATGGGGGAGGGAGTGGGGAGGGGGGGAGTGGATCACTGTGTGCACGCAAGGGGGAGCGGGGTTAAGTGTTGATGTGTATCTGGATGCGGATGTGAGCTTGTGTCTCTGTATACCATGAAAACTTGAAAATTCATATCTGGATTCAAACCCGCACATTATTTCCCCTTTCTATCCACCTTTTCAGATTTTTACCTTTTACCTTTTTATCTATTTTTCCCCTTTTATCCACCTTTTCCTCTGTTTCCATCTTTTCCCCATTTTTATTCGCATTTCCCCCTTTTAATACTTTTACCCTTTTTATCCAACTTTTCCCGTTTTTATCCACCTTTTTTCGATTTTTATCCACCTTTTTCCTTTTATCTATCTTTTCCTCTTTATATCCACTTTTTTCCTTTTTATCCTCCTTTTCCCTTTTTATCCACTTTCTTCTTTTTATCTTTATTAGCAAAACCTTACTTGTCAACGGTCTATGAGCGGATGAGCAGCTTGGTTGGGCTTTGAGAACCCAGGGTGTGGAGGAAATGCCCCCTTTAATTCTTCTCACTTGAACTCCACCGGTTATTGTCTGCCCTCAATAAGCGTACGAGTGTTCATGTCATAAGGGCTCTGGGTATCCCTGCTGTCATAGCAAAGACGGATGAGTAGTTTAGATACCAACGGCATCCTTGAGGTAGACCCTCTGAATTGTAGCTATAGTTGTGTGCCCAGCGTTCCTGAATTCAGCCATCTCCCTATTATAGGAAGGCACATCCCTGCAGTTCTTGTTTTCCTTCCTTTTTTACATTTTTTTCTTACTTTCTCCTTTTCTTATTACAATCATGAATGTCGATATAGCCATGGCCCCCAGTCCCCAGCAGGCCTTCATTGGTCAGGGGGTACTAAGAATCTCTGGGTTTTGTATAATTGAGTTCTTTATCAAATTTGTTTTTGTTATTTTTAGGTGGAATTGTTTTGTTGTTTGGTGATGTTGAGCTGAATCCTGGTCCTTGCCGTCCAAAGTATTGTAATTTACTTTTTAGCAATCTTTTGGATCTTTTGCTAACTGATGTGAGAGGGGTAGTTGATGTAGACTCCATCACGCCTATAGGTTCTTCCGACCACTGTAGTCTAGCATGTAAGATCCAGCTGGACTTTCCTATGCCATATTTTACGCTAACTAGACAAGTCTTCTTAAAGTCTAGAATTAACTGGAATGGTGTCTACCATGCTTTTAATAGCTTTGTTTGTCGAAATGTTTACAAATGTTAAAGCTTTTAATATGTTATAGTTGGACATCATAACGGTTTGTACCCAGCAAAACTCTGAAATTTCGTTCACATGATAAAGCATAGTTTAATGAATGGTGTCACCAGGCTTAGAGGGATAAACATGCTGCCTATAATCTCTGGTCTGCTAACCGTACTCGTCTTTGTTGGGGGAATTATGTTGCCATGCGAAATATAGCAACTAATGTTTATAAGGAGGCTAAATCTGATAATGCTCACTTCTCTCACAAGCCTCACAACCGCATAAATGGTGGTCAACACTAAAAACATCTCTGTTTGGTCTTGAGTCCTCCATTCTTCCTTTAGTGAAACCTGATGGTAATGTTATGTATAGTCCGTTTTAGAAAGCTACCTTGTTAGCAGATTGTTTTATTTCAAAACAAAGATTAGAAGATAAACTTCCTCCTTCATGTCACCCATTGCCATGCTTTAATTCATTTGCTTTCAGATCCTTTCAAATCAAGTATCTGTTATCTGAACTAGATGAATATGGTGGAGTAGGCCCTAATGGCTTGTTTCCTTTAATTTTAAAAAGACTAAATGGCCAATTAACTCCTAAATTAGCCGTAATCTTACGCCTTTTACTTCGTAAAGGGTCATTTCCAGAGTGCTGGCGCTTTGGTAATGATACCCCTATTCCCAAGGGCCCACTACAGTCTTCACCTACTGAATATAGGCCTATTTCAATTACACCAATTTTATCCAAGGTTTTTGAACGTTTGCTGGTCAAACGTCTTTCTGTACATTTGAGACCGTTTCTTCCAGAGACTCAGTTTGGTTTTAGAAAGGGACTCGGCTGCAAAGATGCACTGCTTATGTTGGTGCATGAAATGAAGTCTGCTTTAGATAAGGGTCATGAGTCTCGCTGGATTTTAGTTCAGCTTTTGTCACTGTTAATCACAAGGGTTTAATATTTAAGTTAGTCTTTTGGTGTAGGTGGTAAAGTTTTAAGTATTTTAACTGAATTTTTAACTGGTAGGCTGCAGCGTATTCATGTTGATGGTAGTTTTAGCTCGTATTCTCATGTATCATGTGTGGTTCCTCAGGGTAGTATTCTTGGCCCTTTTCTCTTTATCTTATATACAAGCGATATGTGGTCTGGCATTACTAATAAAATGTCGGCATATGCTGATGATACTTTTCTCTATGCTGATATTCCTTCTCCGGCAACTAGGTAAATAGTAGCTAACAGTCTCACTGTAGACCTGATGATGATTCAATCGTGGTGTTCTCGGTGGGGAATGAAGTTAAATCCTACTAAGTCTAAAGAAATGATTGTGAGTCGGTTTCGAACGCAGTTGCCTCAGCATCGAAGTCTGCTGATTAATGGAGTCTTAATCACTTCAGTGGATAACCTGAAGCTCTTAGGTGTAACCTTTGATTCAATGTTTACATTTGAGTTGCATATTAGGAATATGACCCGGGCAATTTCATCAGAAGTTTATCATTCGCAAGTGCAAGCAAATCTATGAAGATGACATTACACGTAGGTGCTTCTTTTCTTTTATTCTGCCTCATTTTGAGTATTGTTCTCCTGTGTGGTTATCTGATGCATACTCACACTTAAGACTGCTTGATCGTTCTTTTAATTCCATTAAATTTCTCCTGGACATTGGACATCGTAGAGTTATTGGGGCTCTTTCAGTCTTATACAAGATTGTAACCGATAATTCACATCCCCTCTATAAGTTTTTACCTGATTTTTATCAACCTGCAAGAATTACCAGTTCTATGACCCTCAATTCAATGACATTTGATGGAAGTCGATTGTCTACAAGTCAGTTTCCTTGATGCTTTTTTACTGCTATTTGTAGACTTTGGAATAGATTGCCTTCAGATATTGTAACTTCTTCGACTCTTGATAAGCTTAAAACGTCAGCTAACATGTTTTTCTTACGTAATCAGCTGACATTTTTCATTCTTTCTTTACTGTATCTTGACCTGCACTGACCCTTTAGGTGGTATAAATCTCGATTTTTTTCAGTGTGGTTCATTATATAGCTTAATATAATGATAATAATAATAATAATAATAATCCACCTTTTCCCCTTTTTATCTACCTTTTCCTCTTTTCATCGACCATTTCCCCTTTTTATCCACCTTTTTATCCACCCTTTCCTCTATTCATCCACCTTTTCTCCTTGTTCACGTTTTCCCCTGAATCCATGTCCCAGAGCAATGAAACAAAATCCCTGAGTCAGAAACCTTGAAACCGAGACTAAGAGCCGCCCCTCCGCCCAGGCTCCCGATCGTGCAGGGCGGCACCACCTCCTACCTCATCCCGACGATAGCGATCATCTCGACCCGCTACGAGGCGTGCGAGGCCCTGCCCGAGGACCTGACGGAGGCGCAGCGGCGGGAGGTCTGGCAGGAGCGCATGAGGGAGATCCAGGGCACCATTGCCGTGTCGGCCGTCGTGCAGGTCCTCGTCGGTTTCACGGGTGAGGAACAACGGGGCAGAGTGTATATGTACATACAAACACATACATAAATACAGACAGACAGGCACGCGCACACACACATGCGCACACACACACACATGCAGATATGCGTATATAGATGTGCATATATAGATAGATTGATTGACTGATTGGAATAGATGTAGGTATCGATGTGTATATATATAGATAGATAGATAGATACGCGCGCGTGTGTGTGTGTGAACAGCTTATCTCAACCAAAGTCCGATCTCCCGATTTCAGACGCTCACGTTCTCTTAAAAGGAGAGGCGTCGACAAACGTTCTCCCGAAAACGTTTAAGTTGAACAGCCAATCTTCTCATTCGTTCCAGGGTTGATCGGCCTCCTGATTGGCTGGATCACGCCCCTGGTCATCACGCCCACCGTCACCCTGGTGGGCCTCTCGCTCTCCGAGGTCGCGGCGCAGAAGGCGGCGCTGCACTGGGGCATCTCGGGAACGTAAGACACGAGGCCGTTGGGGGGGGGGGTGGGGGGGTGCGCCTTTGTCTGTAGGTGAATAGATAAGTGGATAGATAGATTGATAGAGAGGTGGATTAAAAGATAGATACGTGGATAAATAGATAGGTCGACTGGTATATATTGGATAGATGGATGGATGGATCAATAGATTGATATACAGTCAGAGAAATAGATAGATAGGTAAATAGATCGGTATACAATCTGAAAAACAGATAGATAAAGTGAATAGATTGGAATACAGTCAGAATGATATATAGATAGATAGATGATAGATAGATAGGATAGGTAGGTAAATAGACTGGTATACAGAGAGACAGGGAGGTAGAAAGAGATAGATATCTAGATAGATTGTTAGGTAAATAGACAGAGAGAAAGATGGATAGAAAGACCGACATTTATAGATATAGATACACACATGCATATGTAAGGAGTTCTATAGAGAGGTAAATACACAAATGTGTTGATTAATGGATAGGTAAAATGATAGATAGATAGACTGATAGATAGATGGACAAATACATTGACAGATAAACATGGCAATAGATTAATGTCTGTTTTGCCTACGAATTTTCGCTATTGTAACAAAGGTCAGTCATACACAATACAACGAAAACTACAGGGGGACATCTTTCTCACGAATCCCAGCGAATATTTTTACCTTATCCTTATCCTTATCTTTATCATCATCTTATATCCTTTCGTTCCGTGCCCTTCCTAGGACGATGGTGCTGATGGTCCTGTTCTCGCAGTACCTGAGGGAGGTTGGCATCCCCTTGCCCACCTACAGCAGGGCCAAGGGACTCGCCTCCGCCAGGCTGTATGTGTTCAAGCTCTTTCCGGTGAGGAGGGGCTTGGCGGTGGCGCTGGAATTTGCTTCTGTCTGAATCGTCTTTATTATTATTATCATCATTATTATCGTTATTACTATTGTTATTATCTTTTCTTTCTTTTTTTTTTTTTTTTTTTTTTTTGCCCTTGCTATTGTTGGTACTTGGTGATTTTGTATCATCATTAATATTATCATTACCATTGATATTCTTATCATTATCATCACCATTAGCATTATGATTTCCAGTATCATTATTATCACCATATTTATCATTATCATCACCATACTTATCATTATCAGCATTATTATTAGTTTTTCTCATTTCCTCTTCTTTTTTTCTGCTTCTCTTTCTCTTCGTCTTTATATCATTCTTGCTCCTCTTCTTCCTTTTCCTGTCCACCTCTTCTCCTTCCTTTTTCTTCTCCTTTATTCGTCCTCCTTTTCTTATTATTATTGTAGCATTAGTATCTTTGTTGTTATCACTATCATTATCACCGCCATTATTATCATTCCTCCTCCTCCTCCTCCTCCTCCTCCTCCTCCTCCTCCTCCTCCTCCTCCTCCTCCACCACCACCTCCACCACCACCATCACCACCATCGCCTCCTCCTCCTCCTCCTCCTGCTCCTCCTAAATAACAAATACAGTAGTGATAAAATAACTCATAACACAACCCTAACAAGACGAGACCAACCCCTGAAATCAATAAAAAGATCCTTCTTAAGAAAAAAAAAAACCTGAATTGAATAAAAAAAAATCCTTCATAAGAAAAAAAAATCCTGAACTGAATGAAAAAAACCTTCATCAATAAATCACAAATCCTGACTCGGTTCCTCATTGGCCAGGTGCTGCTGGCCGTCCTGGCATCGTGGGCGCTGTGTGCTGTCCTGACCTCCGCGGGCGCCATCCCCGAGGGCAGCAGGGCGCGCTCGGACGCCGCGACGGGTCTCGTGGCCAAGTCGCCCTGGTTCAGGATTCCCTACCCGGGTGCGAGGCGAGCCGAGGGTGCTGGCGCGGGGGGCGGGGCCGTCCGACTGGAGTGTGGGAGGAGCTTGTTTTCCCTCCTTCTTTTCTTTTTTTAGATTTATGTGTTGTAGGTTGATTTATACCATATACACACATACATACTCGTACACATACATATGCACACACTCAACACAGACACACACAAGCACACGCACACCAAACACAGACACACACAAGCACACGCAAACACAGACACACACAAGCACACGCACACAAACACAGACACACACAAGCACACGCACACCCAAACACAGACACACACAAGCACACACACCAAACACAGCACACAAGCACACGCACACCCAAACACAGACACACACAAGCACACGCACACCCAAACACAGACACACACAAGCACACGCACACCCAAACACAGACACACACAAGCACACGCACACCCAAACACAGACACACACAAGCACACGCACACCCAAACACAGCACAAGCACACGCACAAACACAGACACACACAAGCACACGCACACCACACACAAGCACACGCACAAACACAGACACACACAAGCACACGCACACCCAAACACAGACACACACAAGCACACGCACACCCAAACACAGACACACACAAGCACACGCACACCCAAACACAGACACACACAGATACACACACGCGCGGGCAAACACACACACGAACGCACACAAACACACACACACACATACATACGCACAGAAACACACACACATACATACGCACAGAAACACACACACATATGTACATGTATATATAAACATATATGTGTGTGTGTGTGTGTGTGTGCATATGTTTGTATATGTATCTCTATATTTATATATATACATATATATACATATATACACATATATGCAAATATATACATATATATACACATACACACACACACTCATATATATATATATATATATATATATATATATATATATATATATATATATATATATATCATATCATTCGCACATATAGGAGAGTTTAGCGGTTAGACAGACAAACTGACTGAAAGATAGACAGATAAACATTTTGACTTATAGAGAGACAGACATAGATACACTCACAGACAGACAGAATAACTGACTGGCTGACAGAGAAGCAGGCTGATAGACCGATAGACAGACAGACAGACAAACCGATAGACTGATAGACTGATAGCCAAAGAAAAATACAAAAAAGAGAAAGGGAGAGACAAAGAGAGAGAGAGAGGAGGAGGAATAAATAAATAAAACCACCTCCAGACCAATTATCTTTCTTGTCTGTTTGTTTATTTGTTTGTTTGCCGAGTCCGAACCCACCCATTCACTCTTTTCAACAAGCTTTCATTTTTTCTCCTTGTCTCTTGAAAGTGATCAAAATCATTTCCGTGTCATTGAGGACATAATCAAGTAACAAACACTAAGAAAGCGGAATTACGGAACTCAATAAGAGGAAAGGGTTTGGAAGCATAAGATTTCTGGTTAGATTTTCAATATAATATCTATCATTATTCTTACTTCTGAGGCATATCTATTGATGAATCTTTAACATTCCAAATATTCTAACATTATAATCCGACAAGGTGCTCGCCGTTAATGAGCTTAGCTGTTGACGAGACATATAATTTTGAATAATGAATAAATCTTTCCAGGGCAATGGGGTCTGCCCACAGTAACTCTCGCAGGGGTGTTGGGTATGCTAGCGGGGGTTTTTGCGTCCGTCGTCGAGAGCGTTGGAGACTACTACGTTTGCGCACGGTTGGCGGGTGAGTCTTGAGTGGAGGGCTGAGATTCCTCCTTTTCTTCCAAGTATCAAAATACTAATTTTAACATACTTTGTTTATACATATTATATATATGCATAATGGTGGGTGTATATATAATGTGCCTAATTATGCAATACTATGTAGAAATTACGAATTTCTGTATGATATCCAGCTATCGCTGAGAATGTTAATACAAAGGTGGCTTCTTGAAAATGAAAAATAAATCTATTATCTGTATATCATTATAAAACTCATTTCATGTGAGAATGATAATAATAGCTTCCCTCAATATTCCAAAAAGCAAAACCTTGGCATACTTAATACAATACACGTAAAAAGAACTCACTTTCCCAGGGGCTCCTCCACCTCCTATCCACGCTGTCAACCGAGGTATTGGCACTGAAGGACTCGGTTGTCTCCTGGCTGGCATCTGGGGCACTGGCAATGGCTCGACCTCCTATGCTGAGAACATCGGGGTCATCGGCGTCACTAAGGTTCACTTGTGTATTTGGAAACATTTCTTAAGCTTTGGTTCATGTGGACATAGGAGGTTTGAGATAAGAGAGAGAATGCTCTTGTGCAGATAACAGTGAATCATTGGCATTATATGTGTAACAGGTAGATAAATTATTGTTCAAAAAGAGAGAGAGGGAGACAGACAGACAGAGATCACATTGCAAAGAATATTGCAGAACTAATGTGTACACGAATAGATAGGGGATTGAAAATGGAGGAAGATAGGGTCAGAGATCACCGGGTTTATCAAAGCTGACTCATCTATACAAGTGGAAATACAGAGAGAGGGAGACAATTTTTTTTTTTTTTTTTTTTTTAGAGAGAGTGGGGGCAGGAATGAGAGAGAAGTGAGGAGGCAGAGAGGAAATTAAACAAATATGTAATAGAAATGGAAATAATTTATATAAACAGGTAGGCAGTCGCCGTGTGGTACAGTATGCTGCTGTGTACATGATCGTCTTTGGGATGCTGGGTAAAATTGGAGCAATATTTGCCAGCATCCCCGAGCCTGTGGTGGGTGGGGTCTTCTGCATCATTTTTGGCATGGTGGCAGCGGTGGGATTGTCTTCGCTGCAGTTCGTTGACCTGAACTCTTCCAGGAACCTCTTCATCCTAGGGGTGTCTATCTTCATTGGTCTTGCGCTGCCTAAGGTAAGGATAGCAATTTAAGCGTAACTTTTTTCTTTTTGCAGTATTGTTTGTCTGACTATTTCCTTTTTTCACTATCTTGTTCCCTTTCATCCTTGGTATTCCATGCAGCCTCATTCTCTTTCCTGTATTTTTTTCTTGTTGCTTTCATCATGTTCAGTTATCTACAGATAAATGATACATCATCAGACTACTTTCCTTCCTCCTGTTGGCACACTTGATGACCTCTATTA